CATCTCATGATTTTATATGTCAGCAAAATTTCCAGCAATCAAAACTGTATAACCATTTTATAACCAATAAACCTGTATGCAGCACAAAGGCCTCTCTTTCCCCCTGATTTTCACCATCATCCAGAATAAAACGTTGATTCAGATCTTGTTCAGGGAGCGAGCTGGGCGATATGATGAGTCCTTGGAGACTGAGACAACTAATGGGTGGAGGCCAGAAGCAGGCTGCCTCTGCTTTCGTATCCAGAGTTCAGGCCCTGGGAAGGCACAGAACCAGCTCAGGAGAAGGTGGAGCCAAAGCAGGAAACAGAAAGAGGGCTCAGACGCAGAGAGGGAAGAACGCTCTCAGCTGGAGTCCATTTTGAGACTCCCGTGAGAGAGTAACCAGGTTCATCAAGGAGGGGGCAGCATTTTCTCACCGGCAAATCTGGGGCCTGCCAGTCCTGCCTCAATTACTCGTCTCTGACCCAGGGCCTTTCCTGAAGTATCTACATCCACCTCCAACCGCAACAAGTCCACACTGACTTCAGAACTCCCTGATCTTGAGGATCCCAGGAGACTGTATCCAGGTCTGGATTCTCCCCGGGGGTTTGACCACAGTTCAAAGGCCTGAGATCAGGGTAAGGGTCAGGACCCACAGATATTCCAGCAAGGGAACCTGCCACCCCAGGGGAAAAAAATCCTTACATCCCTGGTCACCCTTAAAGCCCTTAGGCTCATACACAAGGTGAGGACCCCCCCAACTCCAGAGGCACCTCCTGGATCACTACCAACTCACCTCTATCACCCCAATTCCACCCCCAAGAGGGTGGGAGCACGACAGAAAGAGCTTTAGGGTGCACCCAGAAAAAGAGCTGCTGTCTGCCTCCAGGAATGTTCAAGAATGAAAAGGAGAGAAAGACTAAGTGCAATAATTTTAAAAACCAAAAAACAGAAAGATTCATCACTGTTTTGTTTCTCAGATTAAAGTCTGGCTCACAGAATGTTAGGAGTTTCACCAGCTGAAATCTGCGGCCTTTCTAAGCATCTGCTAGGGTTGCCACAGACAAAGCTTTGCATTTTGTCAAGATATTTGATTAAGTTATTTGAGCTCTCAGCGCCTGAAGTCAGGCAGACCTGGGATCAAAGCTCAGCTCAGCCACTTGTCAACTGTGTGACCTCTGAAATGTGATTTTATCTAAGCCTCAGTTTTCTCGTCTATAAAATGGGAATAATAATTGCACCAATCTCATAAAACGGTTTGTAAAGATTAAATGACATATTGTCTGTAAAGTGTTTAGGATAGTGTCTGGTCCGTGGAAAACACTCTATAATACTAGTTAGTAATATTACTATTATTATTTTGAGAAAGTTACATAATATAGTCATTTTACACAGGATTGTGGTATATAACTCTAGATTTTAATATTTGGGCATTTTTTAAGTGTGTGAGACATTAACTTAAATGTACCACCTGATTTTTGCATTTGGCTGTCCAATCTATTTTGACTAATGTCATGATAAAAAAAACAGGTAATCCCTCTATACCTGGCCAACCCTTCCTTTCCACCCTGGTAATCCTCTCTCAAGCTCCGTCTCTCCCCTCAACTGCTCTCTCTTCTTGACACTTTTAGAAGAACAAGCTCACTGCCAGTTGAAGCTGGTGACCAACTACAGTGTGAATGTCAATGGAAAGGATGTGCCACCCAACAGCTCCCTCAATGCTGTGTGCAGCTCAATGGAAAGGCTGTGTTTTGATTTGCAAAACGGCTATTTGCAACATCTGTTCCAAGTAAACAAATATTCCAAACCACCTCCTGAACTGGGATTTTGGGTTCAGAAGCAATGCCTGTTGTCTTGTTTTTCCAGCTAGAGTCTCATCGCAATTCTCTCTCTCAATCTTACACCCCCACATTCCTGGGTCATAAATACCTCCTAGTAGTGTAGAATGTCTCTCCCAAATCCCGTCTCAGTCCAAGGACTTTGGGTCCACCCATTTGTGTCTTCTGCCCCTGACAAGCTAAGCTGCCACATCCTTTCCAGACTCCTCCTCAACTCCATCGAGTGCAGATTCCCAGGACTGCAGCCTCATTGCTGCTTACTCAGTATACTCACCCTTGAATTGGCCAGTCATCCCTCGTGTCTCATCTCTTCCAATGACACAGACTCCTCCTATCGGCCACCAAGTTCCCTCCCTTTACATTGATCTCTGAGGGCTTTTGATCCATAGAACATCTCAAACTGGAGTGTTCTGCTGCCAACTTAAATTAATGTTGGAGCCAACAACCCTGAAAAGTCAGGGTTAATGAAACAAGATTGGGGCTAGCAGGGAGGAAACTTGAGCAGAGGCTCTGACTACACCATTAACTAGCTTAGTTAAGCATATCTCAGTTCCTCCTCCATACAATGAGGCAATGGTCTGGATAAAGTGCTACCTTATAGCTCTAAGATCCTAAATGCCCACCGTCCCCATGCCAAAATACACTTGTTTGTTCATTTATTCATGCAATAACTACTGAGTGTCTAATACTGCAGAGCAATGTGCCTGGCATTGTGAGGAATTAAAGATTATCCCTCAAAGAGCTCATCATCTAGAATGGGAAATAAGACAATCACATCAATAACTATAAGAAACAGAAAGAGGGGCCAGCCCCGCGGCCTAGTGGTTAAGTTGGGCACACTCCGCTTCAGCAGGGGTTCAGTTTCCGGGTGTGGACCTACACCACTTGTCCACAGCCATGCTGTGGCAGCGACCCACATACAAAATAGAGGAAGACTGGCACAGACCTTAGCTCAGGGCTAATCTTCCTCAAGCAAAAAGAGGAAGACTGGCAATAGATGTTAGCTCAGGGCGAATCTTCTCAGCCAAAAAAAAAAAAAAGAAACAGAAGAGATAATATCACAATTGGAGGTACTTATAAGATTAACAAAAATATTACAAGCCCATTACCAACACCCCAAGCCTAAAACTAATTTTCAACATGTCTTTTCTTCTCTGCATCTAGTCTTTCACCAAATGATTTTTCCTTTACATCATTTCTTAAACCTGTGCTCTGCACTCTGCACTTAGAGTCACATGCTTAAATCCAGGCCCCGGGCAACTCTCCCCTATTATGATTTTACCTCTGTCCCCAGCACTTCCCTAACTGATGTGCAACTTCTCATCAAAGTATGAGAGTCACCCTATCAGGTTGGTCTGACTTGGCCACTGTCTTGCTACAACTCCAAAGTAGCCTCCTCCATATTACAGAACATCCACATCAACTCCCTTTACACAACTATCCACACTTCACTTCCTCCCTCCCACAAACAGTGGCTGAGAACATACTTTGTGCTTAGTGCTGGGTGAGATGTCTAAGTCATAGGCTTTAAGCTCCAAGAGCTTACACACTGGTCAGGAAGTTGGGACATATGCTAAAACAGAACAATTCGGGATACTAAAAACGAGGGGGATACTAGCAGCACAGGTAACAGTAATAAATGCTAGAGGGTTCAGAAGGAGGAGAGCTACTTTCTGGCTGCAGTAGTCAAGGAAGCCTTCTAGGAAGAGGTCACACCTGAGCTACACCCTGCAGCAAGGGCAGGACTTCAACAGGGAGGGAGGCCAACAGGCCTCTGGGCCAAGGGCCAACGGTGACTGAGGCAAGGAAGGAGGGTGGTTTCAAGACTAGCAAATTGTTAGGTGGGGACTGGGTAAGAGAGCACTTTTTGAAAGGAATTCACAAGGTATTAGCAAGCTTAGTAGCAGGAATAACTAATTTTCTGCTTAAGCCAGACTACATAGTATAAGGAGGTAGAAGAGAAAAGAAAGTTTAATAATCTAACCAAACTCTGAGAAGAGTTATCAGCAGGGTGATAGTAAAAAGAGCCCTGAAAAATCAGAAAACCTGGGTCCCAGCCCCAGCTTTGCCAAGGAGGGGCTCCCGGGGCCACAGCAAGTCATTTAACCTCGTTGGTCTCAGTTTCCTCATTTGTAAACTGAAGCAGCTGAACTGGCTGACCTCAAAGGTCTCTCCAGTCCAAACCTAAACCAACTGTCTATTATTTCTGCCATTAAAACATTCATTATGGGGGGTGGAGGGAAAGGTGGGTATCTGTTTTCCCTTTCGGTATAGTTTTCTCTTCCTAAACTTAAAATTTCTTTCTCCTAAACTTAATTCTATGTATATGCCTCCCACATCATAAATTTAACATTTTACTTAATGTTCAGTGTCTACCCATGGCCTAATTTTTTTTTTTTTTTTTTTTATAACTCACAGGTTATCCAAGAAATTCGCGCAGCACAGCCTCGGCCTGTACAAATTATCCAGTATCACAGCCCCAGGGTAAAATACCTCTGTATGAGCCATTAAATGTGACAGGGTCCATAAAGGGGAGAAAGGGGAGAATTCTTTTACTCATCTGAAAGACCGTTTCCTTTTAATAGCACCAAATGAAATTATTTCAGGCAATAACAGTAATGTAGAAAGGTAAGGGGGGAAGACTTGATTTTTAGAAAGTCTCTCCTTGAAAATGAAGCTGAAATGCGGAAAGTTTTTGCATTGAAATTCGATTAAAGTTGACAATTTTGATGCCGCATCCAGAAGTCCCCAGCTCCAGGAAAGGCACCAAAACAGAAACCACAGATGCAATTTCACTCCAGCCCTATTGATCCTATGCACCAAAAGGCCAAAGGTACATAAACCAGTCACAGAATTCAAGCGAAACAGGCTGGATCAGAAAGCCTCACCAGTAGCCACCCAAAGTTTAAAAAAGAGAGAGGAAAAGAGAAAAGTTAAAAAAAAGCCTAACTCCATGCAGGGAATCCTAACGCAGTTCCCAGGCTTCCTGTGTAAGCAGCATAAGACACGATTTAACACCTGCGCCCACTACCAGCCTCCCGAACCCCGGAGGTCGGCGGGCGCCGCGAGCGAGGGAAACCCGCGAGACTCCCCTCGAGTCGCTGCAGGCGCCGAAGGACGAAAGCGTTGTTCTCTGCCCATCGGTCCAGGCTTCCTCGCGGACCCCGCCGCCGCGCCCCGTACCTGCCGCGCTCGTCCTGCCCTGGCCGCAGCTCGCGCTCCGGACCCCAGCGCCCGCACGGCCGCTCTGCCGCTCCCCGCCGCGCCCGCCGAGCTGCTGCGCTCGCGCCACTACGCATGCCCAGCCGGCACCTGCGCCAGCCAGCTCGGAATCCGCTTGCCGGGTTTTGGCTGCGGCTCCTAGGGAAGAGGACCTGAGGCCGAGAGCCTGGGTTCTGCCTGAGGGAGGAACCGGAGTTGCAGGTGCTGGGAGAGGCGACGGGGAGAGGTGGATGGGCGCTGCGGTAACGTTCTCCCTACCGCCCACGGTTACCCAGGACGTACGCTCCTCCAAGCCTAAAGACGACCACTTACACCCTTGGAATGAGCTTAGCACAGTGGTTCTCAAACTTGAGCGTGGATCAGAGTCACCTGGAGGGCTTGTTAAAACACAGATCCCACACTCAGAGTTTCAGATTCAGGAGGTCTGGCGTGAGGCCCGACAATTTGCATTTCTAATATTTTCTCAGGGGAAACTGGCGCTAGTAGGTTCCAGTACCACACTTTGCAAATCACTGGTCAAGAGAAAAGATGTTTGGTATTAAAGGAGTCAAGTTTTCTCTCCCCCTCTCCCTTTTGGGATTTCTCGTAACAGTTCCTCTTCATTTGACAGCCACAACTGTTTAAATAAATAAATAAATAAATAACTACAGCTCACACTCAAACAAAGGTTGAATATGCCCTTTAACACGTGAGTCAAGTGAATGGAATGCAGCCTCAAGAGTTCTCACACACTTTGCCTGTAGTATGATCTGTAGTTGAGGTCCCTCCAGCTCTGTCCAGGCAACCGGAGGGGGGTCCCTATTCTGCTGCCCGTTTAACTCAAAGTCCTGTGTGCCCCCTTAGTGCCTAGCACAGTACTGGGTACAAAACAGGTACCCAAGAAATCCTGAGATGGTATCAGTAGGGCTGGAGAGATGGAAAAGAAAGAAGGATGTTGAAATTATTTTAAGAACCCAAAGGAATTGATCAGCAATTAAATGTGGAAGTAGGCCAGCCAAGGCTGGAGAGGATAAAGCTCCCTGCCTTCCACCTAGAGAAATCAGTGGATTTAATATCCTTATCTGAGCCCATATATACAGAAGGAGTTGAGTATGTAAGTTCTCACAAATTTTTTCTTGAAAAGTTAAACACACATCTGCCATATAACCCAGCCATTCTATTCTAAGGTATTGCCCAAGAGAAATTAAAACATATGTTCACACTAAGACTTGAACATGAATGTTCATAGCAGCTTTCTTTCACAACAGCCCCAAACCAGAAGGAAACCAAATGTCCATCAACAAGTGAACGCATAAACAACTTGTGGTACATCTATGCAATGGAATACTACTCAACAAAAAAAGAAAAGAATTGCACATGTGGGCTTCAGCATGGATAAATATTAAAATCATTATGCTGAGTGGAAGAAGCCAGAGACAAATGTATGATTCCATTTTTATAAAGTCCAAGCTAACCTATAGTGACAAAAAGCAAATCAGTAATTGCCTGGAGCCAGGGGAGGAGGAGGGATGGACTGTAAAGGGGCAGTAAAAATCTTTTGGGGATGATGGAAATTTTGTCTTGATAGTGGTGATTTCACAGGAGTATACAACTATCAAAATTGTGCACTTTAAATTTATGAAATTTATTTTCCATAAATTATTCCCCAATAAAGTTGATAAGAAAAACTTTAATCAAATACTCCTATGAACTCTTTATTTAGTGGGAATATTGACCAAGATAAGTTCATGAGGAAGTGTAGACTCTAAATATGTTATAACCTGATTTGGAAGGAAGGCAAAAAAAAAAAAAAAAAATCACCCTCTGTAGAGAAAGCTAAAAATAATCAGTATAAAATGTCTGGAATAACCCATCTCTAAAAGTAATCAACCCCAAGATGTGATTTGTAAATGTATTGCTGGTAAAACTGAAGTATTTCCCAAAAGTATCTCCCAAATATAAAACAGTAAACAGTATATATCATTAGAAATGCACAACCAGTGCATAATAATTATAAAGAAAACTGTTACCTGCTGAACTGAGGGTATCACTACCAGTGAGCAGTAAGGTTTTCAAACTGTGTTTCTAGGAGCCTGGGGTGTCATGGAGATGATAAATGAGCAGGGATCTGGGCAAGGGCTCCAGTCCAGCCAGCACACTATTACTTCCATGTTGCGGTATCCTCTGAGATTTTATTTGATAAAAGGGTTCCACTGATAATTAAAAGAGCAACAGTTTGAAAGCAACAGAAGTAATGGCATCAGGTAGGAAGAATTCACAGAGAAAAGATGCTGTATTTGGTGGGCACAAGTATTCTGGTCATCAAAAGTATACACTTTATAGTAACCATATGTTCCAGTCCTTCCAGAATAATCTCAATTTTAAATATTTGTTTATCATATGAATTTATGTCCAATCATATGTTCCAACTATTGGTCGAAAAAGATAAAATCACCAACTTAAATTGAAACAGGGATAATTTTCCGGCTCTTCTAAAGCTTGTATAAAATATTGGTAATATGATATTACTAGCAAGAATAAATATTAATAACAACATAGCTAAGAGTTATTGAGCCCCTACCATGTACCAATAAGTGTTTTAAGCACTTTACAATGTTTTCTCATTGAATATCCATGACAACCCTATTAAGTTATCCTCATTTTATAGGTAAGAAAACTGAGACACAAAATATTATTTTTCTCATAATAACACAACTAAATGAAGACTAATTGAAAACTGTATTTTATATAAAGACAATATTTGCTGATTTCACTTCCCAAGGATCCTTCTGGATTATTAATTTATTTTCCCAGGCTCATTGATACTAGGAAGGGGGCCATAAAGAGCAGAATGCCGGTGATCACCACCATCATCATCTTCATCATCATCTCGAATGTCTACTCAATGTTTTCTGTGTGCTAGCTGCTGTGCCAAGAGTTTAATGTTCCTTATCTCATTTAATGCTCACAAGGACAATGGTGGAGATTCAGAAATATTAAGTTACAGAAAGCGTAAATGAATGGTGGAGCAAGGATTCCAACTCAAGTCCAGCTCCAAATTTGTGTTATCACAAGTAGTCCCTGCAAAGTTATAATATATCCCATACTCTAAATAAAAAAAACAAGCATTCTTGGTTATAAAGTTGGTCTCTGTGAATATGGTTAGTGTTAGTTCCCCGGAGCCTGATAGTTTCTAAAATGCTCATAACCACAATACCCAACTATCACCCAGCCCGTGATGCTAATCCTGAAATCAGCTGCTATTTATGGGCACCAATTTTACCTCTCATTTCAGGAAAAGCAGGTGCATTTTGAATGACACTGGATAACACTAGGAAGTATGGTGGTAACACATTTACTTTTTTGGCCTTTTTTCCCCAGAATAAAGGGAATAGAGAAGAAAAATATAGGTGAAAAAGGCCAAGATTAAGTTCAATTCTGGCTTTATTTGTTTTTACATCATTTGGAGGAGAAAAGAATAATCTGAGAAATAAGAAGGCAGAAAATAATGCAAAAAAAATCTCTCTTTCTCTCTCTCACACACACACACACACCTATACCCTACTTACCACACAAAATCCCATGAAATGGTAGAGAAGATACCTTTTAAAAGTAAAAAGTATCCTACAAAATAAGAAAAATTGCCATCAACAAACCAGAAATGTTGTGAAAAGACAATGCAGATAAGATCACATCTCAGAGCCAAGAACATACAATGGGGAAAAGAAAGTCTCTTCAACAAATGGTGTTGGGAAAACTGGATAGCCATATGCAAAAAAATGAAAGTAGACCCTTACCTTACACCATACACAAAAATTAACTCCAAATGGATTAAAGACTTGAATGTAAGACCTGAAACTGTGAAAGTTCTAGAAGAAAACATAGGCAGTACGCTCTTTGACATCAGTCTTAGCAACATCTTTTCAAACACCACATCTGACCGGGCAAGAGAAACAATAGAAAAAATAAACAAATGGGACTACATCAAACTAAAAAGCTTCTGCACAGCAAAGGAAACCATCAACAAAACGAAAAGACAACCTAACAATTGGGAGAAGATATTTGCAAACCATACATCTGATAAGGGCTTAATCTCCAAAATATATAAAGAACTCATGCATCTCAACAACAAAAAAACTACCAACCCAATTAAAAAATGGGCAAAAGACCTGAACAGACATTTCTCCAAAGAAGATATACAGATGGCCAACAGACACATGAAAAGATGTTCAAAATCACTAACTATCAGGGAAATGCAAATCAAAACTACAATGAGATATCACCTCACGCCCGTCAGAATGGCTATAATTAACAAGACAGGGAACAACATGTGTTGGAGAGGTTGTGGAGAGAAGGGAACTCTCATACACTGCTGGTGGGAGTGCAAACTGGTGCAGCCACTATGGAAAACAGTATGGAGATTCCTCAAAAAATCAACGATAGAACTACCATATGATCCAGCTATTCCACTGTTGGGTATTTATCCAAAGAACTTGAAAACACCAATTTGTAAAGGTACATGCACCCCTGTGTTCATTGCAGCCTTATTCACGATAGCCAAGACTTGGAAGCAACCTAAGTGCCCATCAAGGGACGAATGGATAAAAAAGCTGTGGTATATATACACAATGGAATACTACTCAGCCATAAGAAACGATGAAATCCAGCCATTTGTGACAACATGGATGGACATTGAGGGCATGATGCAAAGTGAAATAAGTCAGAGGGAGAAGGTCAAATACCGTATGATTTCCTTCATTAAGTAGTAGATAATAACAACAATAAACAAACACATAGGGACAGAGATTGGATTGGTGGTTACCAGAGGGGAAGGGGGGAGGGAGGAGGGTGAAAGGGATAATTGGGTACATGTGTGTGGTGATGGGTTGTAATTAGTATTTTGGTGGTGAACATGATGTAATCTATGCAGAAATAGAAGTACAATGATGTACACCTGAAATTTTTACAATGTTATAAACCAATGTTACTGCAATAAACAAAAAATTTAAAAAAAAAAAAAAAAAAAAAGATCACATCTCAGAAGAACAAAATGGAA